GGCAAAAGTAAAGGACACCGGTTGAATCTGAATGGGAAGGTTTTCTATCTACACTGTTTTTAATCGGATGGAAGGCCTTTGCAGATCACAGAAAAAACCTCTAAAAATCATTTCATGCCCAAAAAAGAAGAGGGAGACTTGCCTGAGAGTGACCTCTAGTGTTGGAGAAACAGGACCACCAGGGTTCTGGGAAAATATTGAAGAGAAAGCATCTTTGTAAAGGATAAAATATATTACAGCTAGATGATTTCTTGGCAGCGTATTCACTAACTTTATAAGCCTAATTTTAAATAGGTAATATATGATTTCAATGCAAGACAAAAAAGGTATTGCAGATCATCATAGTAACAACTGTGAAGTCCTCAGTACATCTCCTTTTAGAAGCAGGCTCTATGTAAAGTAATTGAATATATAATCTAGGGAATTAAGTCCAGGTCACTCAACCACGTTGCAGGTTCCAGCTGCAGAAGAAAGCAAATAGATTCAAAAGAGTGGAAGGACAGTCTCTAACATGCTTTCCATAAATATTTCTGAACGATCTAAACAAAACCACAAGATCAACACTTTTGCCTTGAGCTGATACATGTTGGATCATAATGGTCGCCTGGTCAGGCTGGAACTGGCCTCTGAGGTGATGATACTACAGAGGAAGGATTGCACAGTGTCTACATGGAGCTAGCTCCACAGGAAACATGCTGTATGTCTATTAAGTATAAAGAGAGGGATCGACTTTAAGGAGAAGGATGTGTGGTATTCTGTGGTTTGTTTTTTTCCTGTGTGATACAGTGGAGCATGTTTGCTTTAGATTAACGTAATCAGACCAGGACTAAAGCTCCTTCAGTACCTCTGAAAAGAGTGGAAGGAAAACACTCATCTTACGAAAAAAAAAAAAAAAAAACATGCAATAAAAATATTTCAGCTTATTTGTAACAAAGAAAAATTAATTTTAAACCCTGATGATAGATTATGACTGATTAATTTTTTTTTAGTTTTCATAGAATTTACCAGACGTTGAGATAAATCATCTTAAATGATGCATAGACAAGTTAAAAGGCAAAAAAATCTCAAAGTTAACATATAGAATGTGGTGTAACACATATTTTCTGACCACGAGGAAAAATCTGAACAGTGCTGCCTTCTGACAGGTGATTCCCAGAATGGAGGCTGCATTGCTTTGAAGCTGCAGCATCTGCAGCATCAGCAACCTGAAACAAACATGTTCACAGACAGCCTGAAGTTGGCCATAGCAACACAGATGAACAGCAGGTAAGAGTGCTAAGTCTGCTGTCCAACAGGAGAGAATAATTGACAGTCACTCCACTGTAAAGCATAATAAATTTACTCTGGAGGTTTGTGCTGGCATACCTTTCACAGTTTACATTTTCTAGTACTTGTTTGATTTTTACTGACAAATTACCTTTTTAAATACCATACTTGATCACTTTATGCATAATAAAGTTAACCTGTAAATTTTTGAAAATTACTTAAATAAAAATGGGAATCAATACGTCTGAGCTTAGAGGGAAAAAAACAAGACTGATCAAAGGAATCGATAAGAGGTAAAAAATGTGAAACAAAACTGAAGCCCTACAGTTCTTCTGTGCTGTGGCAGTTATTGGCCTGGAAACTGAAAGAAGGATCATTAATAACCTGAAAGAAATAACATTAAAGGGTTTATTTTTGGAGAAAGATGTATGATTGAGCTATCAACTATTTTTATCCACTTTGTTTGAAAAGAAAAACTCAAACAAGCTGTGCATTTTTGTGTTTTGACATGAAGAGTTTTTTTTTTTTCACCCTTCTTACAGCTTCTGAACAGGTCCACTGTTTGGACGGCCGTGACTCCGTGCTTTCTACTTCAAGTCTTCACGAAAACCAAAAGCACAGTTCCCTGTGGATTTGACTGTTAGATGAGGGCAGTGGATGAGTTGGGCTGCCCTGTAAAAGGTTCACAGAGGTAGTGCTAGAACCATTTTGTAGCAGGGGGTATAATAACCAGTTATATCGTGGACAGCTGAATATGTGTACAGACCTCTGTGATCTTAGCATGAACGCAGGTCTTCTGCAAGGCCTTGGAGGTTTGTTAGAGAATATTCCAGTTAGCCAATGAAGATGAAAGGAACAGGCAGGTCAGGGATAAAGTTTTGGAGAAGATAAAAGTAGGGTAGTGTTATAGAAATATGAAATAAGCTTTAAACAACTTACTAAGCATTGTTTAATTCCTCATGTAAAAATGCAAATACTTTGTAGGAGCTGCAGCCCTACCACTGCATGGCTGTCCACATTAACTGACAGGCTGGTGAAGGAGAGCCAGAGAAACAGCCAGTCCAATGTTTGTCCTCAGCTGCTGGGTTTCATACAACCTAGAATGTGACCACTGAGATAACCTGTTCAGTGCTGTATGAGTCTGAGTCAGCCTGAAACTCAGATAAACAGTGTCCTAAAATGAAAGGACGAATACTTGCAGTCACAAAGGCAGCCGAGGTTAATTTACCAAAGACAGAAACCAAGCAGTTCTAGCTGTTTGACTCAGTTGCAGGAAGATTTATTTTTTCCTGTTCTTGTTAGCTTCAATGAATGCAATGAACTCAGACAGACAGACAGATAGACTAGATAGATAGATAGATAGATAGATAGATAGATAGAT